GCTCCCCCTTGCCCAAGCATCTTAGTACTGCACATGAAGCCCATTGTACCTCATTCATCTCCAGCTGTGTGTGTCCGCCCTGCTCTATTAACGCCTCGCCCTGCTTTATTTTCATATATATATATATATTTTTTTTTTTTAAGGCACTCTATACGTGACTCTGCGGCTCAAAAGCCTCATAAAACTTTTCACTTCTGCCTCATCCATCCTGATCCTGCTCTTTCGTCCATCGTTGAGGAGGGTGGTTCTAACTCCGGTGTTGAACAGTTATTTCAGGTTTTTGAAGGTGGCATCAGCTTTGCATTTCCATGCAAATAGAGAGGCTGAAAAGGTGAGTTGGGTGAGTGGTGCAGTGACCTTGGTGAAGTCATGGATGAACCTCCTGCAGAAGTTTGCAAACCCTGGAACTGTTTTAGATTCTGGTGGGAGCAAGGAACTTGGCGATGAGCCACTGCCTCAATTAAGGTTTCCACCCCATCCCGTAAAATACAGAATCGTCCTTTCAGTCGGAATTTCATGTTGCGTCCTGTATTGGTTCAATATGGGATGCGGTTTGTTCCATATTGTCCCGGACGTCTGTCACACACAAAAGTGACCACTGAATTTAACAATTATGAACAAACTAAAAGACAGGAAATATTAAAGACAGCAACGTGATATTGGTGGACCGTATGCAGGACCTCCTCCGGACCCACGAGCGTAGCCTACATCTGGTGCGTTTTCTGCTCCGTGCCAAAGCCTCTTGTCTGTCTGCCTGCACGCAAGCAGCTCAGCCCCTTTGCGATGCCGCTGCCTGTCATGATCACTGCCGAGTAGGTCGCTGCACACTTTGAGCAGCCCTGTTCAGAGTTTCACAAAGAGCTACTCAGTGCTGCAAGGGGTAACAATGTAAGTACTCTTGGAAGAAGTAGCACAATGAGGAAGAGAGGGAAAGCTGTTGACTGTTTATCCATGACCTCACACCAAAGAGCAAATGAAGGTGTGGGCGAAGAGGATTGTTTTGAACTTTTTAGATTTTTTTTTCATATGGGTTCACACAAGTGTTTAATTTTATTATAGTTATCTTTATGATAGTAAAAGTGTCCCCAGGTGAAGGTGGCGCTTCTCGGTCACGTGATAGGTTACCGCTAAAATGAAACCCAAGAGCTAGCAAAATGAGTGAAAACAAAAAAACAAACATCTTTGGAAAGAGGAAAAGGAGACAGGAGACAGACGGGGAGCCAACAACTTTCAAGAAAAAGAAGCCTACATTAAAAAGACAGTTTCAGGATTTCCTACTTAAAATACGGATTTATCTCAACAGGGATTCCCACGCACCAAGCCAACTCTGCATAATATGCGGTGATGGTGAGCCGTATTTTTCATGCACTGTATCTTCGGAGTATCTTATTTTGAAGACACGTTTAAACATTACCATAGCCACCAGAGTGTGTTGCGGCCAGATCAGACGTTCCTTGTGTCATGATTCTTGTTTATTATTATGTTATGAAAATACCACAGTTTTTATGCAGGTCATATATTATTTTCATGTATTTTGTGAAAGGTTTTGCGTGGTGGTAGTTGGAGGACCCCAAAAAGCAGGGAGGGAGGGAGGAGCAGGGTGGACTGAACAAAAAGCATTTCACAAAAAAAAAAAAAAATACAAACTAAGGCGGACACAAAGACAAACACAGTGACAAAACACAATGACCCAACCTTGACAGGTCGGGCAGGGAGTCCTTTTAACAGAAACACTAACTAATGACACAATGACCAACAGGTGTGCCACTGCAGGAAGAGCCCTACAGTTCCTCCTGTTGGTCACAAACAGAACCACCCTAACATAAATGTTTCACTCTTTGTTTCATTGCAGCTATTTGCTCACATATTTTTTTAAAAAGTTGATTTCATTTCTTGTTAATGTATATTCAGCACTTCATCTTGAAGGAAAAAACTGAAATGGAGAATTTTTTGTAAATGTATTAAAAAAATACAAAAAAAACTATAACTAAAATATCACATGATCATAAGTATCCAGACCACTTGCTGTGATACTCATACTGAATTCACATGCTGTCCATTTCTTCTGATCCTCCTTGAGATGATTCAACCCCTTTATTGGAGTCCAAAGTGTGTTTGAACTTGATTTGGAAAGGCACACACCAATATAAGACCTTACACCTCACAGTGTATGTCAGAGCAAATGAGAATCATAAGGTCAAAGGAACTGTCTGAAGAGCTCAGAGACTTGAGAATTGTGGCACGGGACAGATCTGGTCAAGTTTACAAAATCATTTCTGGAGCACTCAAGGTTCCTAAGGACAAAGTGGCACCTCGCAAAACCCTGAACAATTTAAAGGGGTCTGGATACTTTCTGTCCCCATAAGTGAGCCATGGAAAGGCTAATTGTTGGGATATTTTCAGAGGTTGAAGTGGGTATAAGTAGAGATAGCCACAAACATTTTGGGACCGATTAATGCCTGTCTTTTGACAATATTACCCATGTATGCACAATGATTTTGATGGACAAATTGTGTCTGGCTCCTCCCCTGATCTCACCTA